TTACAGGTGTCAGCCACCGTGCCCAGCCTTCTTCCTGTTCATTCAAAGCCACTGGTTCCCCTCCTATGATAACCCATTATGTATTAACCCATAGATCTATTAATCCATGAATGGATTAATCTGTGCATGAGGGCAGAATTCTATGACCCAGTCACCTCTTAAAGGCCCCACCTCTGTCAACACTGCCACATTGAGGATTAAGTTTCAACATGAGTTTTGGAGGGAACGAACATTGAAACCGTGGCACCAGGTGTTACCAGTCTATGAAAAGCTCATTCAAATTGATAAACACCAAAGGAGCAAAGATCAGAAACGGACAATTCACAGGAGGAGAAGGGGAATCTAGGAGCCTGAGGGAGGATGTATCAGGCATGAAGTGAGAGAGGGCCTATGGGCCAGGGTTGGTCACAGCAAAGGATCATTCCAGTGTTCCCGGGACCCCAACAGTTGCTATCAAAGGGGTGGCTGCCACTTCAGTGAGAGAAACCCTTTTGACAATGCATACCCAGCTTATGAGAGCGTTCACAGGCTAGGCATGGGGGCTCTTGCCTGTAATCCCAACACTTTGGGAGGCTGAGACAGGAGGATAACTTGAACCCGAGAGTTCAAGACCAGCCTGGGCAACATAGCAAGATCCTGTCTCTACAGAAAAAAAAAAGTTCGGGTGTGGCTCATGTCTGTAATCTCAGCACTTTGGGAGGCTGAGGTCAGGAGTTCAAGACCAGCCTGGCCAACATGGCGAAACCCTGTCTTTACTAAAAATACAAAAATTAGCTGGGCCTGGTGGTGTACACCTGTAATCCCACCTACTGGAGAGACTGAGGCATGAGAATCCTTTGAACCTGGGAGGCAGAGTTTGCAGAGCCAATTGTGCCATTGCACTCCAGCCTGAGCAACAGAGCAAGACTCTGTCTCAAAAAAAAAAAAAAAAAAGTGAGTTACCTTCTGGTTGGAAACTGGCTAAATACCCAGCAATCAGGCTGGCCCTGTAAATCAGGCATCCACTAGGAGTGACAGTCAGGAGGCCTGTGACTCTGTAGAGTAGTAGTGGCTCTGGGACCCTGGGCGGAGCACTGTGCTGATGCCCTGAAATCTTCATGGTAACATCCTGTTCCATTCTGTTAGCCTCATTTTACAGCAAGGGGCCACTCTGGGGGAGAGGAGGAGCTCAACTGGGTGGGAGGTCATGGGTTCATGGTGCCATCTGTGGGTGCTATTTCTACTCCATCCAATCAAGGGCTTGAGGCTTGAATTTGGGGGAGACAGAGATATTCTCAATGGTGCAGTTAAAACAGTGGCTTCAGATCCAGATGGGAGAGGAAGAAACTGAGGCTGGGAAGAAGGGATGCGTTGGTCTTTTTCTTTGGAGACAGAGTCTTGCTCTGTCACCCAGGCTGGGCTGGAGTGCAATGGCATGATCTTGGCTCACTGCAACCTCCGCCTCCTGGGTTCAAGTGATTCTTCTGTCTCAGCCTCCCCAGTAGCTGGGACTACAGGTGCACACCACCAGGCCCGGCTAATTTTTGTATTATTTTTGATAGAGATGGGGTTTCACCATATTGGCCATGCTGGTTTCAAACTCCTGACCTTGTGATCTGCCCACCTCAACTTCCTGAAGTGCTGGGATTACAGGTGTGAGCCATTGCACCCAGCCTCTTCCTCCTCTTTATAGCATTGCACCCTGGTTTGTTTTTAGTGACAGAGGCTTGTTCTGCTGCACAGACTGGAGTGCAATCTCAGCTCACTGCAACTTCTGCCTCCCAGATTCAAGTGATTCTCCTGCCTCAACGTCCTAAGTAGCTGGGATTACAGGCGTGTGCCACTATATCTAGCTAGTATTTTATTTTATTTATTATTTTATTTTATTGGAGATGGGGATTCTCCATTTTGGCCAGGCTGGTCTTGAACTCCTGGCCTCAAGTGATCCTCCTGCCTCGACCTCCCAAAGTGCTGGGATTATAGACATGAGCCACCACGCCTGGGCCCCAGAGTTTTCCTTACCCAGATCTCTGCTGCCTTCCCTTCCTGTGGCTGACGCCTTACCCTGTCCTCCAGAAATGCAGCTGCTCTGCCCTCAACCACAGCCCCTGCATCCAGTGCGGGGCCTGGCTCCTGACTGACACATCAACAAATGTGAGCCCTGCTCTCCTGAGTCACTGCAGGTTCCTTCAGGAAGGAGGCAGGGATCTGTTCCCCTTGGCATCCCCAATGCCCAGCATGGGGGGCCTGGCACCCATAAGGTAGCCAAGGCTTGCTGACTGGATGAACAAGCTGTCTTGAGGACACCAGGCTGGTTTATGACATCCCAGTGGACATGAGGCTCGCAGGGACGTGTCCCCCTCTGGCATTGGCACCAGGGCCCCTGCCCCTCTGGATTAGCCCCCCCCCAAGCCTGGGGTCCGTTTCCCAGTAGGCCAGAGAGGCACCCCACTCCCGCTCCAGCCCAAAGAAAACCTGCCTACTCCAAGGGGTGGCCATTGAGGGGATCGGTGACGTAAGTCCTACAGAGGTCACAGGGACATGGAGCTGCAGGGAGAACAAGGCAGGCCTGAGGTGAGGGGCGCTGGCAAGGTGTGGAACCGCCACCCCAACCCAGCCCCTCCTCTGCAGATCCCATCACCTCTGACCTGCGCTCCCATGAATGAAGCAGCTCATTCCCCAGCCCAGTGGTTAGCACAGGCTAGAGACGTTTCCCTTGGATGTTGTCTGCCTGACCACCTCTTCCAGCACAGTGAGGGGCCTGGGATTCAGAGGCCAGAGCCAGCCAGGCTTGGGGGTGGGGAGAAAAATGTCACTATTCTTAGATACCTCATCCTGCAGGGCCCTGGGGCCAGGCCCAACACATTCCAGAGGTAGCAGCCATCGGGCCCACACAAATGCTTCTGTTCCCGGAGGAGGCCTAGGGTCACCAGGAACTAAAATCAGCTTTTCCCAAGAAAGGCGGGGGGTGGGGGACAGGGCTAGAAAGGCCAAAGGTCACCCAGTAGAAACTTTCCAGCTGCCCCTGGTGGGAAGGCCCCTCTGAGTCCAGAGGGATGGGGACAGAAGGATTATGCCCCTCTAAGCTACCCTGCCGGCTGGGCGATTCTTTCTGGTAGGGGGCAGTCCTGTGCATTCTAGAATATTTAGCAAGTCTCTGGCACCCACTGCCCCCTCCGCCTAGTGGAGACAGCCAAATCTCTCTCCAGGCATGGCCAGGTGTCCCCTGGAGGCCAAATTGGCCCCAGATGAGAACTGCACTCTGCCCAGCAGAGCTTCCAGGTCACGCCTGGGGGAGGCATTTAGGAGCCTGCTGTTCTATGGACCTCCTCCCTCAACCTGGAATCCTCTACTTTCATAGCACCGTTCCCCACTGCCGCTGCAGCCCTGCAATCTTCCAGAACTAAACCCACACATCACCTCCCGAAGAGTGTCCTGTGGGTCCTCCATCTTGTTTTTTTTGTTTGTTTTTGTTGTTTAAGATGGAGTCTTGCTCTGTCCCAGGGTGGAGTGCAATAGCTCCATCTCGGCTCACTGCAACCTTTGCCTCCCGAGTTCAAGTGATTCTCCTACCTCAACCTCCTGAGTAACTGGGACTGCAGGCACCCGCCACCACGCCTGGCTAATTTTTGTATTTCTAGTAGAGACAGGGTTTCACCATGTTGGCCAGGATGATCTCGATCTCTTTTTTTTTGAGATGGAGTTTCGCTGTTGTTACCCAGACTGGAATGCAATGGCACGATCTCGGCTCACCGCAACCTCCGCCTTCTGGGTTCAAGCCATTCTCCTGCCTCAGCCTCCCGAGCAGCTGGGACTACAGGCACGCACCACTATGCCCAGCTAATTTTTGTATTTTTAGTAGAGACGGGGTTTCACCTTGTTGAATGGATGGTCTCGATCTCTTGACCTCGTGATCCACCCGCCTCGGCCTCCCAAAGTGCTGGGATTACAGGCGGGAGCCATTGCGCCCAGTTGGTACCCCCATCTTATGAGTTTGACCCCCACTGGTGCTGTGGTAAGTAAAATAATGCCCCCTTGGCTGGACACGGTGGCTCACACCTGTAATCCGAACACTTTGGGAGACCAAAGAGGGAGGATTGCTTGAGTTTAGGAGTCTGACACCATCCTGGACAACACAGCAAAACACAGTCTCTACAAAAAAATTAAAGAAATTACTGGGCCCGGGTGCAGTGGCTCATGCCTGTAATCCCAGCACTTTGGGAGGCAGAGGCCAGTGGATCCCTTGAGGCCAGGTGATCCAGACCAGCCTGACCAACAAGGGGAAACCCCATCTCCACTAAAAATACAAAAGTTAGCTGGGAATGGTGCCACATGCCTGTAGTCCCAGCTCTACTTAAGAGGCTGAGGCAGAAGAATTGCATGAACTAGGGGGACAGAGGTTGCAGTGAGCTGAGATTGGGCCACGGCACTCTAGCCTTGGCTACAGCGCGAGACTCTGTCTCAAAAAAAAGGAGGCAGGAGGGTCACAGTCACAGAGAGACTCGAAGAGGCACACTGCTGGCTGTGAAGGTGGAGGAGGAAGGGGCCTGAGACCAGGGATGTGGGCATCTCTAGACACTTGGGAAAAGCAGAAAATGGAGCCTCCATGAGGAACCAGCCTCATCAATGCTTTAAGTTTAGAACATCTGACCTCCAGTGCTGTAAAATCATGTCTTGTTGCAACCTCTGCCTCCCAGGTTCAAGCAATTCTCCTGCCTCAGCCTCCCAAGTAGCTGGGATTACAGGTGCGTGCCACCATGCCTGGCTAATGTTTTGTACTTTTGGTAGAGATGGGGTTTCACCATGTTGGCCAGACTGGTCTTGAACTCCTGATCTCATGATCCGTCCGCCTCAGCCTCCCAGCTGGGATTACAGGTGTGAGCCAACACACCCAGCTGAGAAGACCCAAAGCTTTCACCTCCATTTGATCTTTAGACTTAGCACAAGCAGGCAGTAAAGTCTACAGCAGATTTGTAAACAGTCTGCATTAGTGGTTGTTTTGTTTGTTTGTTTTGAAACAGAATCTTACTCTATTGCCCAGTCTGGAGCGCACTCGGCTCACTGCAAACTCCGCCTCCCAGGTTCAAGTGATTCTCCTGCTTCAGCCTCTCGAGTAGCTGGAAACACAGGTACATACCACCACCCCCTGCTAATTTTTGTATTTCGGTAGAGACAGGGTTTCACCATGTTGGCTAGGCTGGTTTTGAACTCCTGGTCTCAGGTGATCCACCTGCCGCCTCGGCTTCCCAAAGTGCTGGGATTACAGGCATGAGCCCGAACGCCTGGCCTGCATAAGTGCTGAAGGAGTGCCTGGCTCAGAGTCCATCTGCAAAGACTGAGAGTACTTTGTACTTTTTCTCTTTCTGCACGCCACCCCCACACCCCTTCTTTTGGCTCTAGGCATTTATGAAATTTTTGTCAAATCACTACCTGATCAGAAACTAAAGGACCATACTCTATAGACCACACACAACAAGAACTACATTTTTTTGTTGTTCTTTTTGAGACACGGTCTAACGCTGTTACCTAGGCTGGAGTGTAGTGGTGCTATCTTCGCTCACAGCAACCTCTGCCTCCTGGGTTCAAGCAATTCTCGGGCCTCAGCCTCCTGAGTAGCTGGGATTACAGGCGTGCACCACCACACCTGGCTAATTTTTCTTTTTTCTTTTTTTTTAAGATGAGGTTTCACCATGTTGGTCAGGCTAGTCTTGAACTCCCGACCTCAGGTGATCCGCCTGCCTTTGGCCTCCCAGAGTGCTGGGATTACAGGCGTGAGCCACCTTGCCTGGCCACCTGGCTAATTTTTCTATTTTTGGTAGAGAGAGGTTTTTTCCCATATTGCCAGGCTGGTCTCAAGCATCTGACCTCAGCTGATCCAACCACCTCAGCCTCCCAAAGTGCTGGGGGTTACAGGCATGAGCCACTGCACCCAGCCAAGAAATACAGTCTTTAGAAAACAATTTAGGTATTTGCAAACTATTCACTGGATAAGGAATTAATAACCAGAAGATAAGGAACTCCACTCAACAGCAAAAAGCCCCAAATAATCTGATTTTTAAATAGGCAGAAAAACTGAATAGATATTTCTCAAAAGATACAAAAATGGCCAACAAATATATGAAAAATGTTCAGCATCACTAATCATCAGGGAAATGCAGATCAAAACCACAATGAGATTTCACTAGGCATGGTGGCTCACGCCGGTAATCCCAGCACTTAGGGAGGCTGATGCGGGTGGATCACCTGAGATCAGGAGTTCAAGACCAGCCTGGACAACATGGCAAAAAGCTGTCTCTACTAAAAATACAAAAAAAAAAAAAAAAAACAACTAGCCAGGCGTGGTGGGGCACACCTGTAGTTCCAGCTACTTGGGAGGCTGAGGCAGGAGAATCGCTTGAACCCGGGAGGCAGAGGTTGCCGTGAGCCGAGATTGAGCCATTGCTCTCCAGTCTGGGCAACAGAGTGAGACTCAGTCTCAAAAAAGAAACACAACACTTGGCTTGACTACCCTGATCAAATTACAAATTCCTCATCTCCAGAATGGGAATCAGTATCTGGCTTACCTTAACACGTCACTGTAAGGACCTACTGCAACAGTGCATGGAAAGTTAACTCAGAACAAGGGAGGCACACAAGCGAGTGCGGAGTGTGCGGGGAAGTGGGAAAGCTGGGGACGGGGGGCCGCAGAAGACATTTTAAAAAATGTATTTTATTTTATGTATTTGTTTTGTAGAGACAGAGTTTCACTCTTGTTGCCCAAGCCAGAGTGTAGTGGCGTGATCTTGGGTCACTGCAACCTCCACCCCCTGGGTTCAAGTGATTCTCCTGCCTCAACCTCCCAAGTAGTTGAGAATACAGGTGCCCACCACCACGCCCAGCTAATCTTTTGCATTTAGTAGAGATGGGGTTTCACCATGTTGATCAGGCTGGTCTTGAATTCCTGACCTCAGGTGATCTGTCCATCCCAGCCTCCCTGAGACGGGATTACAGGCATGGGCCACTGCACCTGGCCTTTTAAATTTATTTGTTATTTTATTTTATTTTGAGACAGAATTTTGCTCTTATCACCCAGGCTGGAGTACAATGGTGTGATCTCGGCTCACTGCATTGTATTCCAGCTTGGGTGATAAGAGCAAAATTCTGCCTCAGCCTCTCGAGTAGCTGGGATTATAGGCACAAGCCACCACGCCTATCTAATTTTTTTGTATTTTTAGTAGAGACAGGGTTTTGCCATATTGGCCAGGGTGGTCTCAAACTCCTGACCTCAAGCGTTCCACCTGCCTTGGCCTCCCAAACTTCTGGGATTATAGGCATAAGCCACTGCACCTGGCCAGGCCTGAGAAGAGTTTACAGTGTGATGAAGGGCTGGACAAGATGAGAACTCCCTTTGGCACTTGGGAGCCTGCAGCAAGGAGGCTTGGTCCACCCACCAGTCTGAAGTGCTTGCTCGGACTCTGTGGGGAAGGGGAACATCATAGGCAAAAGAGATGATTGAAAGACATCCCTTCCATGAGACTTGGTGGCCTTGAAGTGGAGGCACATACACAATAGGATTTCAGGGCCAGACAGATATGAACAGGGCAGTCCCAACAGGTGGCAGAGCCCAGAAGCTGAATACATAATCCCAGCCATGCTGGCTGCCTGGAGATGGACAGAGTGAGGGCTTGCCTGGTAGAGCACCCTGCTGGGGCAAAGGCTCAGCAGGAGACAAGTGGAACTGGGAGCCCTGGGGGAACAGCAGATGCTGTGAGAGAAGAGGCAGGAAAGAGGAACCATGGAGGTGGTGACCCAATCAATCCCCCTGTGCAGCCTCCTCTCCAGCACCTTACACCAAGGACTGGGTGGGAAACTGGCAGAATTTTTTTTTTTTTTTTTTTGAGACAGAGTATTGTTCTGTCACCCAGGCTAGAGTGCAGTGGCTCCATCTGGGCTCACTGCAACCTCCGCCTCCTGGGTACAAGCAATTCTCCTGCCTCTGCCTCCCAAGTAGCTGGTATTACAGGTGTGTGCTACCACACCTGGCTAATTTTTGTATTTTTAGTAGAGATGGGGTTTCACCATGTTGGCCAGGCAGGTCTCAAACTCCTGACCTATGGTGCTGCACCCACCTTGGCCTCCCAAAGTGCTAGGATTACAGGCGTGAGCCACAGTGCTCGGCCATGGCCGATCTTAATCCATGTGCTTCACATCAAACAAGGCAGCTCACTCCTGTAATCCCAGCATTTTGGGAGGCTAAAGTGAGCAGATCATCTGAGCCCAGGAGTTGGAGGCTCCAACAAGCTGTGATAACACCACTGCACTCCAATCTGGGTGACAGAGTGAGACCTTGTCTCTAAAAACAAAAAATTGGCCGGGTGTGGTGGCTCATGCCTGTAATCCCAACACTTTGGGAGGGCAAGGATCACTTGAGGTCAGGGATTTGAGACCAGCCTGGCCAACATGGTGAAACCCAATCTCTACTAAAAATACAAAAATTAGCCAGGTGTGGTGACAGGCATCTGTAATCCTACTACTCTGGAGGCTGAGGCAGGAGAATTACTTGAACCTGGGAGGTGAACGTTACAGTAAGCCAAGGTCACAACATTGCACTCCAGCCTGGGTGACAGAGCAAGAATCTGTTTCAAAAAACAAAAACAGAAAAAGAACCAGCAGAAGACAGGGATTGGGGGAGCAGAGGTGAAAGAGTGGACAGGCTCCCTAAGCCTCCTAGGTTCTGTTTCCATGCATGGCTGGCCTACTGGACTGCCAGGGTCCCCAGGTTTGAGAAGTAGATAGCAGTTGGAGGTTTGTCTGATTCTCCAGGGAGCTAGGGAGAGAGCTCAGATTGCCCCTGTCATTCCAGAGAGAGATCTAATTCTAGGATCTGCCCTCCTTCCAGTGGGTCCAGCGTGCCACTTCTTCTTTGATTTTTTTCAGAGGCAGAGTCTTACTCTGTCATCCAGGTTGGAGTGCTGTGGTGCAATCATAGCCCACTGCAACCTTGAACTCCTAGGCTCAAGCAATTCTCTTGCCTCAGCCTCCTGAGTAGCTGGGACTACAGGCCCATGCTACCATGCCTGACCATACCCGGGCTGTTGACTCTCCGTGCCCTCACCTCACTCTCTTCAGCACCTTCCAGATGACCTTGGCAGAGCTCAGACGCAGACTTGACCACAACCCTCCCCTGACTAAATATATCTATGCAGGCTGGGTGCTGTGGCTCATGCCTGTAATCCCAGTACTTTGGGAGGCTGAGGCAGGGGGATTACTTGAGGTCAGGAGTTGAGACAAACCTGGCCAACATGGTGAAACCCCATCTCTACTAAAAACACAAAAATTAGCTCGGCGTGGTGGCATGCATCTGTAATCCCAGCAACTTGGGAAGCTGAGGCAGAAGAATCGCTTGAACCCAGAAGGTGGAAGAGGTTGCAGTGAGCCGGGATCATACCCCACCAGAGATCATGCCACTGCACTCCAGCCTGGGCCACAGAGCAAGGCTCCATCTCAAAAAAACAGTAAATAAGTAAATCTATTCAGCAGCTCCCACAAGGCCTCTGGATGAAGGTCACCCTTCTGTGGGCTTGGCATGTGAGGCCCCGAATAGCTTCTCCCCGCCTACCTCATCTTCCGCTATCCACCCCCTCATCTCCCATCCCAGACATTCTGCACTTGGCAGTTCCTCTAGCATCCTGCTCTGCTGGTCTCTGACTAACACTGGGTTGTCCTTCAGGTCACCATTCAGCTGGAGGTCCCCTGGGAGACAACTGGGATGCCCTTCACATCCCCACAGTGTGATGAAGATGTTCCTCCAGGACACTGATCAGGAGGTGTGGCAGCCTAAGGCTGAGCGCGGTAGCTCAGACCTGTAATCCTAGCACTTTGGGAGGCCAAGGCAGAAGGATCCCTTGAGCTCAGGAGTTCAAGACCAGCCTGGGCAACATAGGGAGATCCTGTTTCTACAAAAAGTTACAAATTTAGCTGGTCATGGTGGCATGCTCGTGTAGTCCCAGCTACTCATGGGGCTAAGGAGGAAGGATCGCTTAAAGCCAGAGGTCAAGACTGCAGAGAGCCGTGATCACACCACAGCACTCCTGGCAATAGAAACATTATCTTGGCCAGGTATTGTGGCTCATGACTGTAATTCCAGTAC